AGTGAAGGATCGGTTTGATTCACAGGTTCCCGGTAGCTTGGCTTTGTGAGTTCAGCCTAAGTTTGGCGTTGTTTTTGGATGGTTAAGCAAATGACGTAACCCATGCTTTACAAAATCTATTTTCTTTCCTATATGATGATTTCTGACTTCTACATGTGATTTTTGCTATGAAATGTGAGATTTGATTCATTGTCTTGTGGGAATGCATATCTAGAACTTGCTATTAGGGTTTTTGTATGCCATTGCTTGGCTATTCCTTTTATTCAAGTCATATTGTTGTATTTTGTGAGATTTTGGGTGTTTTGGACTTGAATTTGGACTTGGTATTGAAAATCCCCGAAGCGATCATTTTTGGTACAGGTTGTACCCGCGGGCAGAACGGCGGGCAGTGGCCTACCCGCCGCCCCACCCGCGGGGTACATGCCTCGTGGGAGAGTGGTTCCCGCGGGCGGAACCACGGGTGGGGGTCCACCCGTAGCCCCACCCGCGGGTACAATAATGTTGGTTGTTGGGGATTTGTTCCCCGTGATTCTTTTAACTCGGTAATTGATGTTTTGACTTTCCGATGTTCTTTTGTTGGGCTATTTGAGTGTCTTCTTGATGTTTCGTATGTCTAGAACGTTGTGGTAGGAATCCATGTAGGATTTGGTGTCCTGAATCGTGCTAAGTGTTCAACCTTGTGATTCGTTGAACCATGATGAGTCTTGTATGTTCTTCGGAACTATGTTTTGGTTACCCGTTTGATAAGCATGCTAGTTTGATGTTGAAATGCTAGCGTGTGTGGTTTGTTCTTTCCTATTGTGGGTAGCAACTTGTGTTGACTATCGTTGGTGTTGGATTGTAGTCCTTCCTTGATTGAGTATGGTTTCATATCTTCGTTGTGATCCGTTGATTGATTCCATGTTGAATATGTGTGTTGGTTGTACCTGGATTACACGATTAATTGTATGGGACGTTAATCACCAAGGTACAGATGTGGTCCTCGTGGTGGCCATGAATTACCTCGTGCCACTGATGTTGAACATACTAGATGAATGGTTTTAGATTTTGCCTCTGCGTTCACGTTGGAGTGAACGTGGCATAACACTCCTTGGTTTTTCCGGTTTTATGTTTAGACTTCCGCTGTGTTTATGTTTTATGTTATATATTGGTTAGATTGCCTTGCATAATTAAGCTTTAAATTGGCATGAAAATCGGGGGTGTTACAAGAATGAAAGTTAGAAACTTACTGCTTTGCTTCGCCTTTGTTTACAGAAAGCTCAGGGTGAAGAGTGGCAAAGAGATGGATCAGATGAAGGCAAGGTGGAATTGTTCTATTTATATGTGTGCAAAATCCTAGGTAGATCACCATTGATTGGTGGAGGGCAAAGTGGTATTTTGTCTTACATCATTAAAATATCAGACATGGCCTTGTGGTTCACCTTGTATCATGGACAAAGGCTAGAAATGCTATTTTTAAATACTTTGGGTTTGAAAATGAATTTTCTCAAAAAGCTATTTAGATGAACCTTTGTTTAAAGTCTTTTTGAATTCTCCCGGTCTCACTCTGATAAATTTCTCGATTTAAAACTTTGTACGCGAAGTACCTGAAAATTTTAAGAATTTCGAATAAAATGAATTTTGGTGTCTAATTAACTTGAAATGTGACAAAAATAATTTATTCAAACACCAATTGATCGCAAAAATTTTTAATGGAGTGGAAATGGCTATTTTGGAATTTCTTAATATCGGAGTTATGAAATAAAATTTTGGGTTGTTACACCAGCCTTCTCTAATTTGGCCTGGCGGAGCTTGGTGACGGGGCTTGAGAAGCCCCGTCACTTGGCTCCGCCAAACAACGGCCTAGAGTGACGGATGTAACACCCCCGATTTCAACACTAAATTAAAGCTTAAACATAAAGGCAAGTCTAATCATTCGATTAAAGGAAAGCGGAATCTAAACACTAAAGTACGGGGATGTCATGCCACATCTATCTAAATATAGATGCACAGGCTCAAATCTAAAGTCAAAACCAAAACAACAGTTAACAAGTCATAAACTAGGCTCACAGGCCACAAGTCTAGAACTACCAAAAGAAAGACTACGCTATCTATCTCTTCCACTAGCGCACTCTCCATGATCTACTCGACACCCTTTGAAGATTTGACAAGGCTCCAACTTGGCTTGGAAGAAAACCTATCTAACTTTTAGAGAGAAGGGAGAGCTCAAGTTTGGAAAGTGTAAGGAGAAAGAATGAGGAGTGTCTACTAGGTTAGCTTGCATTACTAACACAAGGTGAAATGTCTTGAATACCCTTACTAAAAGGAAGAGGTGTAAGGGAACAAAGGAACTACTCACAAAGCTTAAGGTACAACCTTGACTTTGGGTTGACTAGTCAATTACTAGTCCCCGACTATTGAATTTTCAGGAATTTAAGGAATTAAATTACCAATTGAATTAGGATTAATTACTTAATTATTCCCTTAATTGAATTTGGATTACGGGGTGTCACAATACTGATATGATTGATATGAAATAGTCTTGTGACCTTAGGGTGCATGCTAGTATCTTTATATGCATGATTAATTCTGTTAAATGTGCCTATCTTGCATGATTGAGTCTATTCTCGGTTTTTAAATTAGAGTTTCATAAGTATATATGTATTCCGGCTTCAAAATGGTTTTCCTTATATATATATCTACCTATATTGTATTTAACGCGTTGGAGTGGGTTACCAGCATTCTTCGCTGAACAGATATATTTGGCTTTCAGGCACAGATGAGTAGCTCCGGAGCGCGCTAGTTAGACCCATGGGCTTAGCTAGTTTAGTTCTTGTAGCGGCCTGCGTGCCATGATGATGTACTTGACATTGATTGGATGATTTCTGTTGTTTAGATAGTTTAGCATGTGCATCTGAGTTCTCCAGCTCAGATGTGGCATAGCACCCCAACAATTATGTTTAATTATGCTCTGTTTGGGATTTAATGATAGATTTGCCTTTATTTCATAAGTATTAAAATTTTTAAAATTTAGGGGTGTTACAAAAGCCCTAGGAAGGACAAGTTAAGGAAAGACCTCTAAGTTGAAGTCTTAAGAAGGACAAATTAAGATGAGAACTCTAAGTGAAATCCTATGAAGGATATGAATAGGGAAAGAGCCCTAAGTTATGAGTTTGAGATGAGAAAGACTCTAAGTTCAGTGATTAAGTATGAGAATCAGAGTTAAGAAGAACTCTAAGTATCAATTAGGAACACGGTGAGGTTGTGAGTTTTCCTTGCGTTTGCTTATCTGTTTATGTGTTTTATCAATGTGTTTAAAGTGCATTTGCTTATCTTTTGAAAGTAAAGTAGAGAAGTTATCAGTGAGAAGTTGGAAGTGAAAAACCAAGAGTTTGAAAGCTGGAAGTAGAAGTGAAAGCTGAAAGTGGAAAGCTAAGAAAGCTAGAAGTTAGAATGTGAAAGAAAAACCTTGTGAAGTTGATAACAGAAAAAGTATACAGTATATACTTATGTGTGTTTGTTTGTGCTTTACTTGTTGTAAGCTATGCTTTAAGAAAAGGAAAGTTAGAAGCAGTTAGTTCCTGAGTATCTTATTGTGCTCATTGTGCCAATCTTCCATTCTAAATTCCTTGTTGCCGATGGCATGATAATCCTTGAAATTGTATCATCGAGTTTGAGCTTATGCTTTCTGGAAATTTTCTCGTAGCTTGTTATTGATTCCTGAGTCATTCTGACTGCTTCCAGTTTGCTTTCAATGTCTATCGAAGCTATCTAATGTCTAGAGTTGAGTATGAGAAGTTGTTTTGTTTGAGTTGAGCCTTGAATTATTGCTAATGTCTATTCTTGACATTCCACGATTTATTGTTGAATCTATACCTAGAATGCTTATAAATTCTTTCTAAGTCTTCTTATGAGCTATCGTTGACAAGCAATGCTAGTATAATTGAATCTTGAAGCTAGAATGATCTTGTTGAAAGTCTTATTCTTGGAATTCCATTGTATTTGAATTGAGCTTATATTCCTTGAAATTCATATTGTTGGAATCCATTGAGTTTTTGAGTCAAGATCTATTCGTTGTTGTTATACAATTGGAATTCGAATTTGTTGAGTAATTCCTATGAGCTTATATCTGTTGAGTATTCTTGAAAGTATTTTGTTCTTGACGGGCTATTTTATTGACTATGTATCCTTTTTGTACTCTCGGATCATGTTGCTATTGTCTTGAGATCGTCCATTGTGGTATTCTTTCCTTGTTATTGAGCTATTGAGCTAATGCTTCGAGATCATCTCTCTTTTATATCTTCCTTTGGAATTCACGAATGTTGATCTATTGCTTGAGATTAAAACCTTATTGTATCTTTATTTGAAATCCATTAGTATTGAGTTATTTCATTGAGATTATTCTTTGTTGTGTCCTTCTCTTGGAATTCGATCCACAGCTTTTGTTTCACGAGACTTTGTAGAATCTTGGAAAATCATGACCTTGACAATCATGACTTTGGTTGTAACCAATAGTATTCTCGAGTTTCAATTTCGAAACCTCTTACTTTCTTCCTCTGAAAAGACAAATTCCTCCAATCAAAGTGTACACCTATCTGGTGAATCCAAGTTTGTTAGTTAAGAAGTTGCTTTGTTCAGCCTTGTTGTTATCCTAGAAAAGTGAGAGTTGAAACTTGAAAGTTAAAAGTTGAAAATTGAGAAGTTATGTGAAAGTTGATAATGTGATCAGTATCAGAGTTATACATGTACCCTATTTGTGTGCCTTTGTTGTGCGTGAAGAGATAGATTGTGTCAAATGTTAATGATTAAGTATAGTTCCTATAGCATCGTGAAGCGCCAAGAAGCAACGTTTGGACCTGGAGCATTCATGGAGTGGATCTTTCCATCGTCGAGGCACATCAGATCCAAGGAAGCACGCAAAGCCAAAGCAAGAGAAGCGCTAGCGAAGACGTGAAGCAAGTAGAGAAGAAGTCAAGACTTATCCATCACGATCAAGTCACAAATTTTCAAAGGCCCACGGCATGGCAGATAAGAAGGATATCCCAAGTCAAGACCCAAGTGTAGCAAGGAAGAACAAGACTGGAGGGAGACACTATCATTGCAAGAAGTGCGGGAAGGATCACCCAAGAACCAACTGTAGTGGGAACCCGATAAGGTGCTTCAAATGTGGAAAGGTTGGACATCGAGCCTATGAGTGCTACGCAAATCAAAAAGGGAATGCCTCAAGTCAAGGACCTAACGAGGGTGGACGTCAGCTGAAGAAAAGATCTTATAGAAATCAGTCTGGAAACAAGAATGATAAGGGTGGACAAAGGGTTAAGCACGACAGTATCAAGAACAAGAGAAGTAGGAAGGAAAATCAAGGCCAAAATAGTGGTCACGGTAATCAGCTGATGAAGAGGGCGCAAGTGAAGGTTGTTGGCGTGGAGACAGGTACACTCCTTATGAACGCCATACCTGTTTAAGTAACATAGTTGATTTTGGAATTTCAACCTTCTGTGGTTGTACGTTATGCTTTTGGATTGATAGTGAAGAGACCTTTAAAGGCTAGACACAAAGAATAAGAGTTGAATTAGAAACATAGGGAATTGAAACGTAAGATTGGGTTATTCAAAAGCAAGACAATTCCTTCTATCTTTAAGAAGTTCATGAAGATATGAACTAGGGGTTGTAAACTCTGAAAGAAATGAAGTTTAAGATGATTGACAATGACTTTGGACTTGTGAGGTGTATGAAGGTGAGGAGAAAAGTTGTAAGTAAGTATTGCGTTTTATGAAAGGTGAGGAACTAAGAATGGAATTAAATAAGAAAAGAGCAGGTTAGGGTGTGTGAACTTGGAAATGATAATTTGTGAGAGAGTTGAAAGAAAGGAAATTAGTGTTGAGATTGAAGAAGTGGTAAAAACGATAAGAATAAGAGAAGTAACAAAGAAACTTTGAGTTAGTGAATTCTAGTAGTTAGATTAAGCTTAGCGCCTTAGTTGTTTCAGTGCTTGTTTGGAACTCAGAGATTCCATTTCTTCTTAGTACTCCAAGAGAATTCCTAAACCAATTCTTGAAATTCTTACCATCTTTACGAAAGCTTCTGCTCGAGAAAATCCGTCCGTTCCTTCTAAGTTTCGGGACGAAACTTCTTTTAAGGGGGTAGAATGTGACAACCCAAAATTTAATTTTATAAATTCGGTGTTTAAAAATTTTCAAAATAGCCATTTTCACTCTATAAAATTTTTGCGATGAAATCGGTGTTTGAATAAATTATTTTGAGCCACTTTTAAGTAAATTCTACATCGGGACTTATTTTTAAATCTAAAATCCTAAATCCTCGGGTACATTGCGTACCTAATTTTTTATCCGAAAGTCAATTTGAGTGAAACCGGGAGAAATCTGAGAAACCTAATCGAAGTGGTTGTCTAAAAATTATTTTTGGAAAAATGTATTTTGACCCCAAACTATTTAAAATCTCATTCCTAGACTTTGGTCCATGTTGTAAGATAGACCACAAGCTTGCCTGATATTTTGTAGAACTCAACCAAATTACCATTTTGCCCTCCTCCAATCATGAGCATTTCTCCTAGGGTTTTGGACCCTATAAAATGCATCTTTAGCTTCAATGTGTTCTCCTGATCTCTTCCTTTTTTCCCTCAAGCTCTTGTCTGCCAAATAGAAGGAGGAAATACAGTAAGTATTAGCATTCATTTCCTCCATTCATTTTCCATCCTAAGGTCCCCTTCTCTCTTAGCTTTCAATCTCTGAGGTTTGTTAGGCTTGGCTTGTGTTGTTGTTTGAGGTTTCTAGGTGATGATGGAGTGGTGTATGAGAAGAGTGGATGCTGAGATTCACATAAGGAAGAAGAACAAAAAGAAGAGGCAACAAAGTTATAACCCCATGGACTCCCATCTTAAGTTTAGGCCTTGTGAAGCCATTGTTTTATAAGTAGAAATGAGTAGAAATGCTAGATTTTTGAAGGGTTTGAGCCATTAAGTGATCTATAACTTCTCTATGATGTGTTGTTGATTATTTAAGAGTGTTTGGTTGCCTTATTTTGTCTTACAAATGAAGGAGAAACTCACTGGTGCACAAACCAGTGTGCACCAGATGAGACACGGGACTAGCCAACGGCCCTAGGCAAGGACCGTTGGCAAGTCCCGTGGAGGTGCGGCCCCAGGGCACGGCTCCAGGTCAGAGCCGTGGCCCTAGGCCGCCGCTGGGCGGTCCCAGGCGGCGGGGCTCCTCTAGGCCCATTGAGGTTGTCCTGTGCAGTGGTCGGGTCCTTGTGGCGCAGCTACGTGTCATTTCGGACCGGGTGTCACGGGCCCTTGTGGCTCGGTACCTTGGGGCCGTCATGACGCACGTTTGGGCTTTTGATTCCGATGAATTTGGAATAGAAATGAGCATTTTGGGTTAGAATTTGAGAAGAAGTATGTTACAAAAAATTGTTGTGAAGGTTTACAGTGAAGAAAATGCTAAATGTTGGTTTAGGCTATTTATTTGAGAAGCATGAGAATTATATGAGTGTTAGATAATGGAATATGATTAATATTTGTTAAGTTTTGTTAGAAAAGCATGCCTAAGGTGTATGCTATGATTTATAGAGATTATTGTCAAATTCCAAGTAATGAAGTCTACAAAGCATGTTAGTCTTAAATGTTTTTATCCAGGGAATGAGTTTAAATTGAGAAATTTGAGTTCCAAATGCATGAGAATTATTTGCTATTATTTGTCAGATTATGAATTTCAAGCAAGATTATGTGTCCTTTGAGAGTTCAAAGTAATTTATAGAATTGAAGTATGTTGTACAGTAAATTGCATTCCAAGCATACCATGTTTTAAAAGTGCATAAGTGGCCAACGTGAGCCAAAGTATTATTTTCCAAAACTCATGAGCATGTGGAGAATCTTTATCTTGTTGCATTGAAAAGTTTTTGAGATGTGACATGCATAAGTTTGGTGCATGATATATATATATATATATATATATATATATATATATATATATATATATATATATGTGTGTGTGTGTGTGTGTGTGTGTGTGTGTGTGTGCGCGCGCGTGCGTGTTTGTGTGTGTGTGTGTGTGTGTGTGTGTGTGAGAGAGAGAGAGAGAGGTTTTGGAGGGCCCGTTGGGACTATGTCCTTTCGGAGTAAAAGAGAAAGTAATGGATATTGCGATCCGACAGATTTATCATGTAACGCGGTGTATTCCCACGTTACGAGGTTGGAGACTGCCCGCCGCGCTTGGAATCCTGGTTAGGGGGTGTGCACACTAAAAGTACGATACCTGATTCCACAGAGAAAGTAAGCAAGAAAGAAAGATAAAGAACCAAGAGAGTGGTTCTGTGGGCAAGTTGAGTATGTGGCCGGATAGATTGCCGAGCCAGTTAGGTCCATTCACGATTCGTGAAGACCTACTTCCCCACAAGTTAGAGGTTCCGTAGTTACCGATGTGGCGGATGCACGAGATTGCACCGTACGCTAGGGCTTCGCTGCGGCGGAGTACCTGCCTCGCAAAAGAAGAGAAACGAGAAGTATGAGAAAGTTTGAGCAAGAAAGGAACCGAGTCAAGAGACTCAAGGGAAAGAAAGCGAGTGATTGTGAATCTAAGAAACCTCCACGGAAAAGTATTCTATTTACAAACGAGTGTATAAGTATACTTATCCTATTGCCTCTTATTGCTTTTGAGTATCGTATTGCACGAGATTGCATTTGAGTATAGAATTGCACGAGATTGCATAATGAGAATGTTTGCACGAGATTGCATAATGAGAATGTTTGCACTAGATTGCATATTTAGAATGATTATCCGAGATTGTATATTGAGTATGTTTGCCTTAGTGGCATATGGATGTAAGATATTTCTAATTTGCATAATGAGAACTTGAAAGCATGAGAATAATTTCTTATTGTTTGATAGCATGAAATTGCTTGTTAAGTTATGTGTTGGCATGAGATTGTTATTGAAATGTTATATGGAATTGAGTTTTGCTATGTTATGTATGTGATAGTATGAGCTTGTTGTTAGGTTTGATATCGTTGAAGTATGCCTATTTGATATTTTAGATTGTGAGCATATAGAAAGCTTTGTGGTTTATATTAAGGTTTTGTCTAACTGATTGGGATTGCTTAATTTGAGGATGTGAACAAATGTTTTTCCAAAGTATATACTGTAGTATTTTACAAGGTTGAGTGTGGTTATACTTAGCTTCGTGCTAACGGGTGTTTTCTACTTGTCTACTTGTTGTTTCGCAAAACCCCTTTCAGGTGGGCCCAGTGTTTGAGAGTTGATCGAGTTAGACTAGTTTAGTATATCTAATAGTCTAAACTCTTTTTGTTTTTATGATGTTATGATGATGGATTGTAGACTTATGATACTTATGTTTGGTGATAGACACCGGGGTGTTTTTCCCACAAGTGACTTTTATTAAGTAATTTCAATGTTAGTTTGACTTAATGACTTAGTTCTATCCTTAGCATGTGCAATCACCGTGGAGAGGTGATTGTGGCGATGACATTCCCACTAGTTTGTTATTTAAGTTGTATTCTGCTGCTTAATTTATCTTGATTTTGGTTGTAGAACTGTAAATAAGATTAAGAAAAGTGGGGTGTTACATGTGGTCCACCATGCTCCATGAACCAAAGCTAGAATTGCTATTTAGTATAGTTTGGGGTTGAAAAATGAATTTTCCTAAAATGATTTCTAGATAAACACTTGGTTTAGGCTTCTCAGAATTCTCCCGGTTTCACTCAGAAAGATTTCTCAGTTCAAAACTTGGTACGCAAAGTACCCGAAAATCTAGGATAATAGATTGAAATCAAGTCTTGGTGTCAAATTTATTTAAAAGTGGCTCAAAATAATTTATTCAACACCGATTTCATCGCAAAAATTTTTATGGAGTGATAATTGGCTATTTTGGAATTTCTTAAAATTGGATTTATAAAATTAAATTTTGGGTTGTCACATGCTCCCACTCCCCCCACTCCATATATAACCTTTATATGTATATATGTATATACAGTACAAGTTTTAGATAATAAAATAGATAACAGTTAATTGGAGATAATTAGGTCAATTGGCAAGGCATTCGTTTAATCTTTGTATAGGCCAAGGTTCAAATCCTAATGCTTGTTTCAACACGTCTTACCAATAGGTTTGTCTTTTCAACATAGACATAATTTTTATGACTTTTAAATATATTAATTAATTAATAGTAAGATTTGAGATTACATATATATAACCTTCTTTTATATTAATAATGAGATAAGTAATCTCTAATTAATTTTTTATTCGAATTATTTTATCAAATTAATTATGTTTCTTATTTTGTTATGAAAATTTTATTGTGGTTTGTTTTTCGCCCATATCCAACAATATATATGCCTAACTTTTAAGTGTTTCAATTAATAGTAAGATTTGAGATTACATATATATATAATCTTCTTTTATATATATATATATATATATATATATAT